ATACATGCACAGCATGTTTTTTTTATTATTATTATTTTTAAAAGGACTTTGCGTTGACTTTCTTTCATTTTGTATTCATTTCTATAGCTTAACCCTTGCCATTACCCTAAACATAGCCTAAAATCAATTCAAAACTTAGTCCTAAATATAACCCTAATCCAAAAACTCCTCTTCTTCTTATGGTGCATTGAACTCCATAAGGAACAGCCAGTCCCCATAATGTGGTATATGTTAGGAAAATGGTCCTTACAATGTATCATATACAAGGCCAAACACACACACACACACAACCTTACACTGATCTAGTATAAAGATCTTTGCCCTTATATGACTGCACTCCCACACACACACAAAACTTTCTAACCTCTTGACTTTTCTAAAGATAAACAAAGACTGTTTTGTGCTACCATTTGTGACTATTTCAGTCTCTGAGAAGCATACATCAAGAAAATTCCCACAACTAATTTTGGTTCCTGTTAAGATCATGACCCATGCTTTTAAATTATGCCTGCAAGTTAGGGTATTTCTGGGTCACCACAGGTCCTTTTCAAGAAACAAACACTATATTTATATAAACAATTCATTAGTTTTTAGAAGAGCACATTCACTTCATTTGGATCAGTATAACTGTCACATTTGAGTAAATATTTTCAGTGTCTGTTAGGAAAGTAAATCATGCAGCATGTATAATGTTAGATATTCTCCTTTGAAATCTTTCTCCTCTCTAAAAGATCATCTTTAAAATTTGTTCCCACCTGCTGGTTGCATTGTATAACTGGGTTATTTTTATGTTAAGAGAACCACTAAAATCAATCATGTTGATTCGACCAGAGCCAGCACATTAACTAGTTAATCCTCAATATCGTCCACCATGGTCATTGATATTGCTTCTTGGTTGCCCATCAGAACACAGAATAGTGACGATTGTTGAGTATCAATCACTTTCAAGTCGGATGAATGCGACTCAAGTCTAGTGATTGGATTGTTGAATAAATCCAATACGCATCAGATCATTGAAAAGATCCAATACGTATTGGTTTTAGGACCATCGATGTTGTCTGGATATGTGGACCACAGTTCATATTTTTAAATAATAATTTACTGTGTTGTTCAGACTTTCGTGAAAAGATCAGATACATGTTGCATTAAGGCAAAAAAATAAATAAAAAATTGGATTTGGGTCACTTAAATCTGCAGTGTGAATGTAGCAACCTCTTTGAAAAATAAAACCTGAATGATCAAGATTAGTATATCATTCCCCAGAGCTGCACTAACCTCATTCTTTTCTGCTTCAGATTGCTTCCTTGTCTGCTGCTCATAAGCTTCTTCCAGGCATTCTAGGATGATTCAATTATTCCTTAAAGCTGACTCAATGGTTTCAGTGTGATCCTGCATTTTGATCAAAGAACAAACCCTCCAACAAACTTTCCCCTCAACTCTTAAACTATACAAAATGTTTCTATTAGTCGTTTCCTGAATACCTCTTTCTTGTATATCTGTATTTTGTTTCAGGTATCCTTAAGTCATCAGCAAACACCCAGCCAGGTTGAAAATTGACTCATTTCAAAAACCTCAGGAATGTAAGGTCACAAACCAGTAGGCACTTTCTGTTACCTAACAATCCAAACTGAGTTCCAGCAGGTTTGGACAGCTGGCTTCACTAATGTTTGCAGCCATTTTCAGTGCAACCGTTAAGTTGGGTGGGGTGTCAGTTTATTTGATTTAAAGTGACAAGAAGCCCTAAAACATTCTGAAAGGAGTTCAATACACCTAACTAATCAGACTAAAATATCATTATCTAATAACGATTTTGTGTAAAAAATTTACCAATTGTAACTTTTTCAAGGAAGCATAACAGGTCAACTTTAAAACATTTTGTCGTGCCATTGTGCAGTATAGAGCCACAAAGGAAACAATTTTAAAGTACATAACCCAAGAGCTAGCATGTAGCAGCAGTTGCAGCACCACACAAAGTATATAACTTATTATATGTTACAATGTATCATAGATAAATAACCAAGGCATAGAAAACATAAATCTGATAAATGGAGTTGGACAGAGCAAACAATGCAACGTGTACCTAGCTGGCACATTCATGAAAATGTTTATGTAATCCATAATCATAGAGTGAACTTATATTAGATGCAGAGGCTGAAAAACTATCATTTAAATGAAGACAGAATGCTTAGAATTACATTGTGATTCATCCACCAAGCTCATGTAATGCTCCTATATATTTTTCTATTATATATGCCTTTTGGCTGCTCACTGAATCTGACTGAGCCTGTTTCCCTCTCAATCCGTTTTTAGATACTTTGGGAGCATAAAGAGAAAGCATCCAGGTGGGAGAGAGCCTGAGCTATGCTGAGACTCAACAATGCTCATAAAATGTGAACAGGGAACACATGCTGGAGATTATTAGCCTAATGGATGCAGGTTGTAGGAGACAAGATGATTTAAATGAAGCAGCAAAATCACTGCATAACTGAAGGGTTGTTTCCAAAAGCTGCATTAGTCAGAGCTGACAGCTGGAGTTTCAGTAAATGAAAGCAAAATATAGCTTAAAAATAATTGTGTTTTTATTCTCCATCTCACAAAATTAACCCCAAGTGTGCAGATGACATTGCATAAAATTGATTTAGGATTATTTTCAAGTATCCAAAAGTATATCTTCACTGGTTCTCAATTACCCAAAACCCCAAACAGGCAAAATGTTAAGAGTTTGAAGGGCTTTTATGTTTCATAACAATTACATGTTTCTGATGAAGTAAAACATGTTTAAATATATTTGTTGGTATTTGATGAATACATGAAGTTATTTGAAAAAGATGGGGAAATGAAGGCATCACAAAAGAAACAACATAAAATCTGATGTACCAAATGAACAGAAATGAACAAAGTATTGCATATCGTTTTAATTCACTAAATGTCAAATTTCTGTCAACATTTAATAAGTTAGGTCTCCATTGAGAAAAATTGACAAATACATTTATGCATAGTACTGAAACAGAACTAGGCCTGCATTTTCTGAAGAACAGTCCGTACCAGCATCCTCATAACTTTCTTTCAAGCTAAAACTGAAATATTATTGAGGCACTGCATGTCAGTGTGGCCCATAAACTGCAATGTGGGATATAAGACAGTCCTGCAGAGGTTAGTGAGGGGAGCTGAGAAGCTCATTAGAACAGGACAGAACAGGACTCCTTACGCCTCACCTTGAACTTATTGAACTGTTACCATCATGCAAATGGTATGGCAGAAAAGTAAAGTTACCAAACTGCTGTGCAATGTTTTATGCCTCAAGTTGTTACGAAACTGAACTGCAAAAATATCACTGTCATTATTATATCTGCTTTATTTTTTCCAATCCATCTTTTTTCTATTATCTATTATTTATTTCTCATACTGGTGCAGTATGGGGAAAATTTTTCTGCCATAATCCAAGACACACATTTTTAGTTTGAAAGCAGGATTTCATGTCTTTTGTTCTCAAAACCTTTATTACATTTGCTTACATTTTTAGTTTGAAAGCAAGATTTCATGTCTTTCAAAAAACTTGTAATGCTTGTACTCAAAACTTCTCCTCGTGCTCATACTTGGTCTCTGCTCTGACGTTCTGCTCGCTTGCGAAACATTTTCTGCTTGATTCTTCTGGAACAAAGAAAAAAAAAAATGCACCGTCGCCAGGCAACCTCTCAGCCAATAGAATAAAAGTGTTGAACTGGGTGCATTTGTTTCCTTCTAGTGGGTGTGCCTGTGTGGCTACTATTGATTGCACCAACCTGCGCCAGCCACTGGATGTCGGGAGAAGCAACAATCTAAATCGCAGCCTCTAATAAAACTCACATTAATAGCGTTATAAGTTTTATCCATATAGTTTTAGAATAATTGAGAGAAACAGCAATATTTTATGTTTATGTTTTATAATGTAGGACTGAATCATTTCTTTAAGTTTTCAAAATGTACATTTTTCTAAGAACAAGCCAGTTTATCTCTACAACAGTTTCAGAATGTTTTAGACAGACAGCAAAAAATAATTAATATACAATACCCCTACGTTTTTACATTAAAATAAGGATAAACTTGCTTTTTCTTGGATTTATTTATATTTTCAAAGCTTAATACTAAACTGATGCTTAAGTAAGTCCTGAATCTTATGGAGAGTGAAGACTGCCAAATGACTATCTCTAATGAAATAATTATTTAAATGTGTCATCAATTTATTAAAACCCTTCACTCTCTATAAATTATGGGTCTTTTCATCCATCTTTAAATAATATAAGTTTAATCATAAGTCCCTTATTTAAAAAGTTTAATAAAGCTTTTTAAAATACCTTTATCCTTAAATTTTGAGTAATTTATGTAAATATAAGTCAACAAATTGTAACTCTTCAGCTTGGATTTAATTTAAATGTAAATACTTCTTGTCATTTTGATGTTACTGAACTAGCTGAACTATATTTCCAGGTCAGAATCCAGAGCTGTGCAGATTATTACCAACTTCAACTGTGATCTCTACAGAAACAGAGACACTCGTCCTTCAGCAGACCACCAGTCAGTTACGATGCAGCTGAAACACTTGCTGTTTTTGCGTCCCTCGTTGATCCTATTTTTGCTCAGTGTGTCAAATTAGCCATAAGAAAATCATTCTATGTGCTTTCACTGTGATTTCCACTGATGACATTGACAAGATGAAAAAGTCCAAAGTATAATAAACAAGGCATTTCAAACAGCTCATGAGAAACTTCTTCAGTGAAATAAAATATCTGCTTGAATGTGGACTTGACAAAGCTTCTTAAATCATTTTTAGATTGAGATTAAACCTTTTAGGGAAAAATAGGATATTTTTCTATAAACCACCATAACAGGGAACAAATGACTCAATCACAGTTCTTGATTTAACTCTATAAACATCCACTGATTGGCAGCAGAATCGCATAATGGGCTGTGACGTGCAGCAAATCAGACGGATCAAAAGGTGATCCAGAAGTCTGTGGGAATCCAGATCCTCGTCGAGATAAAGCGACTGAGTGAAAGCATGAGTGGTTGTGTGGGCTCTAACATGATGACGCTCAGAGCTCTTTCCCCCTGGAGAATAATGGGCTGAAAAGTGGAAGGACTGAACACAAGGAAAGCGCACGCAGAGAGCAGCACGGCTTTTTCCTGAAGCAGCGGCGTCTCCCACTCGCCCTGTTTGTGCGCACAGAATGAATATTTTCTTCAACTTGAGGGGGACTATTGTGAGACAAATAGCAGAAGACAGAGCTGTTCCAGGTACGTTTTGAGATAAATTACTTTTATTGTCGTGTGTGCAAGCAGAAGTTGTTGCAGACTTGTGGCTTTATAACTATTATTGAATCACAAAGATGAAACAAATACTAACTTGTAATTTGTGCGTTGGTTCTGTTTTGGGGATGTTTTTCATCAAATCTGGGTTTACATGTTTTACGGCTGCATTTACGCAGTAATATTTCTTGATGTAGAACCGTAGTTGCACTTTCCATCTTTACCACCAGATGACTCTTGACTGATGTGGGCATCATTTGAATTTGATGGAGCAACACTGATATTTCACTCTGTTACAGTGACAAGAGGAAGCAGGTTTTTTCATGCAAGAATCGAGATGAGTACTTAAATGAATAGGGACAAAGATTTACGGCAATAATGCAGGGCTAACTCATTCCACTAAACGCCCTTTTATGAAAGAATCCCCCTCAACATGAAACGCATCAATTTCCTCAGGAGAAAACGCACTACGTCAAGGTTGTCCAGTAGATGGCGAGACTCCAGCGAGTGACTTCAGTTGGGGAAATCAGCCGTCTTACCCCCGCTGTGACTGTTCAAGGGATGATGCGGACAGGGATGCATGAAAACCGGGAGGACAAGCCGCTTTCATGACGTACCTGCGTGAGACGCAGAGACAACATGGCAGAGGACTCCAGCGGAGAAAGCGCCAGGATGCGGCTCGGTTTGCAGCTGCTTTTTTAGATCAAGCGCGGTTGTTATGTAAGCGCGGCTGAAAACGGCCACACAGAGCATGCGAGCTAATTGGGAAGAAGGAAAATGGAGAAATCAAGTTTTAACCTTCAGCACGTGGACTAAAAATAGCGTTAGGTTTGCACGAACCATCCCTCCGCTAAGTTATGTAGTTCGTCAACAGCAGCAAACAAAGTTGTTGCTAAGCGACGGCGAAGTCTTGACCTCGGCGGCGCATTGGTGGGTCGCGTATTGATATTTAAATTAACTGTCAGGTGTGCAGGTGAAAGCCGTAACCTTTAGGAAGTGCTTCAACCAATCAGCTTTGAGTGCTGGGATTTTTTTTTTTCCAACTAAAACCAAACCTGCTAATGCACCATGCGGGCCTCTATGTAAATATGTATAACTGACCGTTTCTTTTTGTGCAAAGGATTAACGCTGGATTTGAATGAACCGAATCTTTAAGGTAACCCCGCTGGACTGAGCTCCGGATCTGGACCTGTACCCCAACCATCGTGTAACTGTCAGCATTTAGACATGGCAGAAAACAGACTGTGTTATTATGGAGGCAGTCTGTTTATTTAACGCTGGTTATCTAAACCCAACTTGTGTTTAGGATGATGGGACCTCGGATTAAAAAAGGGGGGACACCTCTAGGGGGACACCTTTGAGTAAACAAAGTTGCTCTAAGAACATTATGCATGTTTCCTGGTGTTTTATCTGACACAACATTTCCGAGATGTCTGTATTCCTAAATATAATCTGTTTCTTTTTTTGTTGATGTTTGTAAGTAGCCTATAGCGTGTTTTCCACAGAAAATAGGGCATGGAATATTTTCTTATAGACTACAATCTAAGTTATCTTCAACCTTTACAAAGTCATTCATTTTCATTGCTAAAATTGAGAAATATATATTTTTAAATATGTGGAAAAAAACGTGGACAAGGTGACATGAAATGTAATCAAAACTTGCTGAAGAATAGGAATCAAAGCATTGCTCAATGGCTACAAGAGTAGAAATATATTGAATTTGGGTTCATAAATTGAAACTTTTTAAAGGAAATTTAAACAGTTACTGTTCTTTGAGAACAGTAGCTTGAAGACTTACCAGGCAAGCACACTACCCAGGAGTTTTAAAGCACTCTCTTCGTCAAACTGAGCTCTTAATGAGCTCAGTTTGCCTGTAATTGACTGCAGTACTTTATAACTGCTGGTGATTAAAAAATGTGATTCAGTTCTTCAGGTAGAAACAATTTCTGCTCCAATTCTGAACAACATTGTTACTGGTATGCGTCTGAACGTCAGCACTCCTCATGCAGTGGCTGCACAATCTTTGCTTTAATCAGTGTTTACTTGTGAGCATGAACATCAACTTGTATTGTAAAATGTGGGAGCAATTTGGAAGATAAAGAGAATTAAACCTCTAGCACTACTAAATGTCACCATCTACTTTAGATCCTATTTAAGCCAATAATTTATGACACTACATTGATTTAATGAACTACTTATATCCAGTGTTTTTTCTTTAGATAGCAGCAACTACATACTGACTAATAAGGCAATTTAAAGGGTTTAAACCTTTATTGGAAACAGTCCCTGAGATGCTGCTCTTACAAGTGGCAAGAAGCAACATTATTGTGTCTTCATGTTGCTGGGAGCCAGTTTTGTTGCAGTGCATCACCCTAAAGTTGTAAAGCTTTTAGATTTCAACAGTATTTTATTTCTTTATTTGTTTTAGGATTTTGGTGAAAGTGATGCTGCACTGTTATGACACTTCATAAGCTGACTAAGACTCTTTTCAGTTTACATTTTTAAAAATGGGTTAGCAATTGTTATATTTGCTGTTTTTTATAGGCGCTTGTAAGGTTGAAACTGTGCAATAATACTGTAGCTTTGAAAACATAATTCTGAGGACAATTCAGTCACACTCCATATCACAGCAGGTCATTCTGCAGTTAGTTTTGGCCCAAAATGATCGCTTCAAATTGATGCTGCATATGTGGAGGCTGAAATGGAACTTAAAATGGTCAGGCCTCTGCAGTAAAATGTTTTCTGTCTTTTTCTTTTCCCTACTCAGATACGGAGAAAAAAAAAGTGTGGTCCTCTGCAGGTAATTGTTGTATTCACAAGCGTGCACAGAGTTGCATGATGGCCTGACTGTTGCTTCCCTGCCCAAGTCATCTGTCTCTGCCATGGCATTAAATGATTCAGGTTGTCTATTCCTTTAAATCCAATGTTATTTAATCCTGGTGCTAAGGAGAGAGTTTTTCTGATAGCTGAGTAGAAACCTGTCATATTCATCTGTTTACTTCCACTGAGCTCATCCACATTTCCAGCATTAATTGTGTTTGTAGTAAAAGGGCTTTCTGCATCCTTTCTCTCTGTAGCTGCACTTTCATTCCACAATTATCCAAAAGAAAGATTGTTTTGTCAATTTGCTTCATCATTCATACACGGGCATGACTCATGAAAGTCTTTTTATGCCATAAATGTGTGATTTAAAAATACTTTTCACCATGAAAAAATGGAAAGCACAATGCCAATTTATTAATATATCACATTTTGATGATTTTATGTTTCTTGGCTCTTTAATTACATTTAGTCCTTGATGTTGTTTCCATAAAATGTGTCATAATGTTTTTAACTATTTTTTTTTCCAGAATGAACAGCATCAGCTACAGCCAACATTTTAAATAGCTTCGTTTAACATGCAGCAATTTTATTTTTCACATGATGACAAAGTTAAGTTAATTTGAAACAGTTGCGACTTTTAAAACAGATCTTTAACCACATCTGCTGCTTTTTACAGAAATCAAATTAGGCTGCACAATATTAAGAAAAAATGATCATATCACTTATCAAAATTAAACCACATTTTGATCCATAATCTTTATTTTTCAGAATTTTCTTCAGTCTCCTGCAGTTTTATGATCATGATTACAAAGAGTTGTATTTGTTGTGGGCATAGAAAAGTTCATGTATGACTTGAAAGCATCCATTAAGTAAACCTCTAAAGAATCGGTTGTTTTTTTAACTTTCTTAAATAAAGGGGAGATTTCCACATTACCCTATTTTCTCTTTATGGTTTTCCAGTTTTTTTTTTTCTGTGCTTCCTCTGTCAGGACTTGTTAGGGTCTTTTGTCAGCACTGATGAGGGCGATCATGTCTGGTGATAGTAATCCACAGGTCATCACACTATACTGTGATGACCACACAGGAACACAAACACACATGATCTAAATGATTAACCTACCATTTGCTTAGTTCATGATTGAGCAATGAATGAAAACAAAAGCGATAAAGAAAGTTCCACAAATACAAATCTGTCTCAATATGTTCAGAGTAGCAGCTCTTATCAATATAAGTAGTGCTGGAGTTTAGGTGCAACAGAAATAGGTGTCCTATTTTTGAAATGATTTATTTTTCCCCATTTGCTTCATAAGCAGAAAATAGGCTTAGAATCCCCTTGACAGGAGGATTCCCATGTTACCAGAAATTAAATTCTACTCTAGGGTGGGTTTAATAAACACTTTCTCTATGTAGATAATGACCAATTAACCCCGCCAGCGTCGTTGGTTTCCTTGTCATCAGAAGGTACACCATAAACCATACAATTGCATTACAGTGTCAGTGTAATTTTTCTCGGTTTGAGGAGCAGCAACCTGAAAAAGAGAGAGAGAGAGGGAGAGCTTGCTTACCTCTGGGCAGTCTTTAACTGAGAAACAGTTTATGTAGTCATATGGTATTCCTGCAAAGTCCTAAATAAGTGAAAGTTCAATAATCATCTTTGAATCCTCTTGTTCATGTGTCTTCCTCTTGTTTCTCTCATTTCTTGCTTCAATCCCCCCAACAAGAGGCAATGATGAGTCCTCCACGCCGATCATCAAGTTCCCATGGCGACAGGTAATTTCCTGAAGTATTTCCCAACATGTGAAACTCCGATGTGCTGGAAACGGTAAAGAGCGCTGTTTTGAAGTCAAAACTAGACAGGCATGAACACAATGTGTTGTGGAAGGGTTGCTTTTTTTATAATTTTTTTAAATGAACTTTGTCCACTTTGATGGTAGGGAAACAGTTTGGTGTTTTGAAAAAAAAAAAATCCTGATATTGCATCAGTATATTCAATTATTTTATGAAAAAAGTACGCTATTCTTGGGAAACAGCCAACAGAAACACGTTTTTCCACATCGTGATTTATTTTAATCTTTATTTTTCAGTTTTGTTGCAGATTGTTTACTAGCCTGAAAAACAGTGTTATATTCTGGGAAAGGTATTCATACCTTTTGAACTCTTCCAGATTATGTAATGTTACAAGAACAAACCTGTATTGTTTTCACATTTTATGTGACAGTTCAACACAAAGTAGTGTATAATTGGGTAGTATAAAGAAATTGCTACATTCGTATCTATGTCCTTTATTCTGTTTTCTCAAAATCAAAACAACTGTTTTCAGAATTCACCCAATTAGTAAAAAAAAAAAAAAAACATTCTCCTTTCCAAAAGCCTAAGATGTTTATTAGAGAACACAAGTGAACAAACACCATGAAGATAAAAGTAAACAGTTCGACTGTAAAACTATATCTAAGGTGTTCAGCTTCTCACAGAACACTGTTTCATTCATTGTTTAATATGGAAAGAGCAACAGATAGCCTACAAAGACAGTAAGTTTTCTTTCACACAAGCCATTTAGAAGAGACAGCAATTTGTTTGAAGTGAAACAACCGCTGCTTATCTCCCTCAGCCCACTTTTCCTGTTGTGAAACAGTGCTGACAGGAAGACGGATGGAGTTAAACACAGAGAAGAAGACCTGTCATAGACAGCAAAACATACGAGACCAGAGGGGAGGTTCATCTTCAACAGTATCACAGGCCTAAAGATGCAGGTTTAAATCATTTATGTGGCCCAGTTGAAGACCAGACCTAAATTCAACTGCAAATGTCTAAATACTCTCCATCTGCTGTGACTCAGTCTGGAATATTTTGTGAAGACTGAGCAGAAACTTCAGTCTTCAAATGTGCAAAGCAGGCAGACAAACACTGTACCTGAAAAGACTTGGAGCTGTAATTAAAGTGAAAAGTGATTTCTACAAAATATTGACTCAGGGATACTGAATACAAATTTATGCTACACTTTTCAGGCTTTTATGTATTGTATATTTGAAAACCGTGTGTCATTTTCAACACTATGCACTTCCTTGTGCCAATCTGTCACATAAGATTCTAGCAAAATAGATTTGCTTAAATGTTAAAGGACTAATAATACTTACACAAGAAGCTTTAAATCCTCCATTTTCTCAGGATGTCATCCTAATATATCCAACTATGCATCTCACTAGCACATAAGGTTTTAGTGTAAAATTATGCTAAAATTTCACAGTTGCTTACATGTTGATGGAACAGGTGCTGCTCTGCTTCTTGTTGCACAGATCCTCCTCCGAGACCCTCCAGAAAAACAATAGCAGCAACTCTGGTGTTATTCTGGATATCTCGTCTCTTAAGATGGCAGATGTGGATACAGAGGTGCCTCCTCTTCCACCTCGCTACCGCTTCAGGGACCTGCTGCTGGGGGACCAGACTTTTCAGAATGATGACAGGTAGCAGGAAAAGCTTGTATTTATTGTGCTATAACATCTGATTGCTTGTCATGGGATATTTCTAGACTGACCTCTGTGTAGTCTTCTCTCCTAGGATGAATATATTAAGTGAATTCTTCTCTCATAGGACGAATATACTTGTTCTTTCTTTTTTATTTATGGCTTTGTTACATTTTCCATGATTAGTTTTTCTTATGAGCCTTTAGAGGCAGTAGCAGGACCTTATCTTTTGGTTTTATATGTGTCGTTAAAATAAAACATACAAAGTAAACAGAGCTGTAAGAGGTTTCTTTGGAGAAAAGAGTCTTGCGATTCTTCAAACCTTGACTGCTTTACACTTAATATTTGTAAAATGGCAGCAGAAAAATTAACTTTTTGGATGATTTAATAAACCTTTTACATTTTGAAATCTTTTTTGTGCTTAAAAGACAGAGAAAAACAGTAAATTCTGTATTAAAGTATTCTGTCCATGAAACAACAAAGCCATAAACCGAACAGATGTAGCTGAAAAAAAAAAGCTAGAAAAACCAGAGTGTGACTTTTTTGTGTGTGTCCTTTTTAATATCAATTCTTTTAGAGCAGAAAAACATTTTTCTTGTATGCTATTATGCGCCACAGTTACTAGTGCTGGGGACTCTGGGAGTCTTTTAACACTGGGAGGAGTTTTTGTCAGTGCTGCGGTTGGGGAGGCAGACCAACAGATGCTGTTTATGAGAGGAAGAATTAGCCTGAATCGCCACTGAGTACCGTAGGACCTCTCCATGGTGCTGAAATGAAGTCATTTCACTGAAGGATCAGCAGTCACTGTTTCTCTGGCCGTAGAGCAGGGAAACAGAAAACTGCTGTGTGTTATTGTTTTGTGGAGTGCAATAAACATGTTTTATACATGTTAACTTGTACTTTAATCTACTAGCTGCATATTACATAATCATAAAGGAATGTTGCCTCATGGCCCGTTGTGAGCAGGTCTGCAACTGAATACCTCATTTAGGCTTTTTTCAGGTCTAGATTTGGTACTTTTAGTCACAGTTTGTTTGAGATTTCTTTCTTTTGCATCTCCTTTATGATCTTGTTGAATCATACATCATTCATTTATAATACAAAGCAACAAAAACATAATTTGGCATAATAGTCATCACTCACTGTAAAAATATAGCTTTGTGTGTAATCTCTTTAAAGTAGACCCTTACATTAATTAACTGAGATTTCCAAAGGACTGCCACCGTTTTGGGAGACAAACAAAATTGTACTTTTCAAAATGATAGAACAAAGGGTTTTACGGTAATACTAATGCTAATGTATCATTTGAAAAGCTGAACATCAGGTTTGTTCTCAACAGAAGTCATGTAAAGACACTGTGATTTATTTTAGGCTTTCTGAGCTGAATGAAAAATAAACATGATCAGGTTTCAGTTTGAATCAGAATATTTACAAGTAAATATACGATTCTGTTTACCAGCTCTGCCGCTCTCATGCCTCTGTGTCTTCAGTCTCTCTGTGTCTCTGGGGCTTTCTGCTGTAAATTGTTGCCAGTAGGTTTTCTATCAGTGCACGGCCTTTGTCTGCACATAGCATCTCGAACGGCAAGGCTTTTGACCACCCCTCCCCCACAAATGGTCTTTTTCTTTCCCAATAGGTCCAGTGATTTCTCTGTTGGCAGGTATATTCTCTCCAGTGGTGTGTGCCAGTTTTTTCTTTAATGTTGAAAAATTTATCAATGGCTTGAATGTAGAGTTGATAATTCAACGGTTTACTGATATAAAAATGTAGAAAAAAACCTGATATTTACTTGAACTATTTTATTTATTCTTTGTTCCATGTTGTGTATATATCTATTAGAACATTGTGATTTTTTTTTTTTTTTGCTCATATGAACGCTTCCTCCTGTTGGTTCCTGTTTTTGCTGATCACTTTTTAGCTCCAAAGCGTAATTAAGGCTTGTTGCTGGGCTACCAACAAATGACTGGTTGAGAAAATGCTGGCATCCACATATATCTGTATGTGTATGTGTGAGTGTATGTACGCTGGATGCAACCACAGACCTATATCTTTCTCAAACACTGCCAAAAATTGCATTACAGAGGAGACTTTGCTTCCTCAAATCAAATAAGCTCAGTTTCACATGTGTATATGCAGGAGTGGGCAGTTTCCTAATTCCTGAAGTAGAATTTAAAACCATGACACTGAGCTTTTTTTATTCAATTTTGTCTATGCACATTAATTGTGATGCTAATTTTTTGTTTATTTCCTGTCTGTTGGATTACAGTGCATGCAAAGAAGGAGACCAACGCTCTAATAGCCGTAGTCTTTTTTTTTTCTTGTATTTATTACACTGAGTGTTGAGTAGAAAGCATAATGGCTTCCATGTTATTATCAGGTGCAAGTGCTAGCTCACTAAGCACTTTGTTATCTCAAATGGTGTTGACAAACATTAATACATTACTAATACCAACAAAAAAAACGTAAATAAAGTAGATACTTTCTTTACATTCCTGTTTTACATCCACTTGTTTTCACCAATTGTATTCATTACAAAGTTAACAGATCAAAGCAGCAATCTGTGGAATAACATTAATGGTCACTGCTTATAGCATAAGTTCCAAGCTTTCTCTATGCACTGCTCAAATCCTGGCAGTATATATCTTATAACACAAGTTAAAAATTAAAACAATTGTTTTGTAATTAAAAAAAAATGGATGTCAGGAAAAATGTTGAGGTGCAACAGGGTGTCTTATATGTGGAAGTGTATTCAGTAGCAAAATCCATGCTGCTTCCATTGACCATTACTCTGTGTCAGTCTCTAAACTCGTTAGGAAAGGGGTGCGGACTGCAGCAGCAATGTCGTGTTTAGAGACACAGACATTAAACAAGTCTATTGGGATGAGACGTAAAACCATGGCTTCTTTTTTTTAGCAGAAATAAATCCACACATCTTATTGGAAAACTGACTGAAGAGCCGCCGGCCGATAAATGTGTTCTCTACATTTTTCCTATTTCGGGTTAGTCTTTTCTGTTTTCCCACTAACATTTACATAGTAATAAAAAATGAGCCTGCTTGGTAGTTTGCTGGTTTCATCCGTGTTTTGTATCATTGAGATTTCCATTTAAGCAAGCAACAAAGAAGCTGCCTTCTCAAAACACCAATTTAATTTTAGCTGGCAAACACCAGTAGGATGCATTACCCATTTGTGTTGGGATTGCCCCCACTAGAGCCCTGATTTACAATTCACTCCAAATTAGCATCTGGTTGCAATTAGAAAATAGCACCGTTAAACTGCTTAGGCTTGTGTGAAATATCCCAAAGTTTTGCTAATCATTTCCTCTCAAGCTGAAATGAATTTTCTCATTTCGAAGTTAACTGATTTAGTTTGCAAAGGGCAGCAGAAATTAGTGCGGATTGCAAAATGAGTTGATTATCAGATTTGTTATTGAACACCACAGCTAATATAAGTATTAACCAGGTCAAGTGTGGATGTTGTTTGTTTTTCTTCTGCCTTTGCTTCTTCTGGCTTCTTGCTCCTTTTTTTTTTCTTTTCAACTTGTACTTGCACTTTAAAGAAAAACCTCCATACGTCCCATTCCTCAGTCCTGTGATGTTTCATGAAAATTCTGCTTTCAACATCCTGACTGACTTTTAGAGGTAAACACATTCTGTAAAAAGTGATATTTTTCATCTTAAACATAATATTGTCATTTCAGTGACCTAACATTTAAAAAATGCAGATAATGAACTGAAAACATGGGCTCTCGCTACTTATTTGCCTTGCCAAATCCTTCATTTTATCTCCTCAAAGAATAGAGATAAACACATAATTAAATTCTGTATTCATAAGGTATTAACTGATTTTAAATCACTGAGAATGTATTTGTTATGTATTTGACTTGTATATTTTTAAGAACTAATTGTTGGTTGTTTTGAGAATTAGATCATGGATAGCAAATTCAGGTTGACATGCTTATGAATTATCATCAATCATAAAAGACTAAAGTGAACCGCGAAACAAAATGTAAGGAATGCAAAATAAAAATCTTTTTTAATGATTCTTAGGACAATAATCCATTGAATATTGATTCCTGAAACTAGCCTTGCAGTAGAATTCAAAATGATGTAAAGTTCAACTTTACGAAAATACAACAATCTATCTATGAAATTCCTCTGTTTTATTCCATTTTGCTTTAGTCACTAATGTCCAACATGACCATGTATGTATTATCTCTGTTACCACCAGTGGCAAAGAGGGTACAGCAGTGCATGAATCTGACTGCCAGTGGCCAGGTGAGAGATAATTAGTGCCAGCAGTCGGGTTCTGCCAGCTACCTCTCCTCTGGGATCACTTCTAAGCAGAGGTGGAGGTGATTTATATCTGCTCAGAACTATTGTGGTTTCAAGCTGGCCTATAAAGAGGTCCAGTGTAATTGCATGGGGCCTGTCGGGGCAGTGATCCAGATTATGAGGGCATCATTCACTGGAGGATTGTACCTGTAAATCATGGGTTTTATTGTATGTAATTATGGTTTATCTTTGCCATCAGTTTAAAGCCTTTATCTGGTTCTTTTATTGGTTTAGAGAAGTCTTGACAGTTGAAGGTCTCCTTTTAAAACATCTTTTTTTGTTTTTTTTATTCCAGCATTGTCCATGGGATTTGATTGTGTCCCTTTGCACTCAGCCCTTTTAATCATGTTACCTTCTGTCCACAGGGAGGCCATTTTGGGTATATCTGCAAAGGCTTTTAGTCATTTAGGCTGTGAATCCACACAGATTCAGTGTCTTTGGGAAACCAGAAGCGGTCATTTTTGAAACCGGGTTCCAGAGTAGATAAATTGGCCATGTCTTATTTTAAAGCAGTGACATCATAACTTGTGAGGGTCCTCATTCTCACAAATAACAAAAATGGCAGCATTCAGTATTTTCTGTATTATTCTGAGCCAGTGTTTCAGCGCCACCAATTGGCCTGGCATACCAACAACATAATTTTCCATGCTGCCGCATCCTGTCATGT